GTTAATATGTATTTTCAAAATATTTAGGAAATACTCCTACATACCTAGGACCTAAGATAGGCACTAATAGGTAGTCTAGATAACAACCTAATTTAATACAACATTGGAACTAGCTTCGACTAAGACATTCGATGATTTTAACTCTTAATATGATGAGATGTATCTGGAAAGAAAGAAAGAATATTTAATACATTTTATTTAAAACACTCTAAAATTACATAATTATTTAAAAACTAGCTTTTATCCGCGGCTTCGCTCGCGTCACAAAAGGATAAAAAGTAGCCTACTAGCCTCTAGCTACACAAAGCGCCATCTATATCAATACTTTTGTTTTCCCTCGGGAATACCAATTTTTTTCGAGGTAAAAAGTACCCTATTATTTAATTCGGGCTTCTAACTTTAACGTCTGCAAAAATCAAAGCAATCGGCGTAGTAGTTACGGCGTGAAAGCGGAACAAACAAACAAACAAACAAATTCACTTTCCGATTTATAATATTAGTAAGGATTACTTCAAACCACAAAAAAGCATATTCAAAAATAAAGAAAGCAGTCGACTTGTAGCGGGAGCATAGTCCAAGCTATCGCTGGTTAGGGCTCGTATACAAAACTACGATGCGACGTCGCATCGCAATAATGTGCGAGCTCCCTCTACGCATCGCAAGGACTTGCGAATTGATTCGCATCGCGCATCAAAATCTTATCTTCCCAAAATCTTCTTTGTTTCTTTTTTTTTGTATCTCGTGAGCAATAACAAAAGGGCACACTTCTTTTTACGATCCATGTCACGACCTAGTTTTCAATTTAATGAAATAAATGCTTTTGAGTTTGAGTTTGACAGCGCGCCCTAGATGCACTCCCTGAATGGCTGGAGAAGTGGAGACTGGCTGTGAACGTGGCCAAGACTCAAGCGCTCGCCGTGGGGATCATGAAGCCGACACCCATGACACTCATGGGAGAGCAGGTCCGGTGGGCGCCGAGCGTTAAATACCTCGGCGTGACCATCGACCGCTCGCTCTCAATGCGCCCGGTGATCGACTCGGCGCTGCCTCTCCGTGCGAAGCTCGGTATCTACAAGGCCTACATTCGGACACGGCTCACCTACGCCGCCCCGGCATGGTACGCGCTCGTGTCCGAAACTAACAAGAACCGCCTCCGTACCATCGTCCAAGCCCCGCGCTTCGTACGGAACGCGACAATCGCCCGAGACCTCGGCGTAGAGAGCGTCGACGCATTCGTGCAGCGCCTGAGCACCACACTCTTCGAGCGCTCCGATCGGTCGCGGCACGACCACCTCCGGGAGCTGGCGCCCTACCACCGGCGCCCCCCCGACGGGCTCGGCCTCCCAAGAGACCTGGTCGCGCCGACCGACCCATCGGACGCCGCGTGAGACTCCCGCCCGCCCGCCGGCGGGTCGGTAGAGTCTCCGCCTCTCGCCGGGCTCCCCCCGGCTCGAACGTTCACCACGAATCACATGAATAACCCGCGATTTTTAGTTTACATTTATATATTTTTATTTTTATGAATCTAACTATAAATAAATAAGTCACCTTCAACACGTAGTAGCACCATGTTCTTCCTCTATGTGTTTCCGGAACACAGACCTCGACCCGGATTCGAACCCGCACGCGCCACACACTAGCACATCAGCCGCTTCTACCTCTTCCGTGTGTAAATGTACTGTGTCTGAAACAAATACCACAAAGATTATAGACAAATATCTTCAATACATAGTATAAAACAAAGTCGCTTTCGCTGTATGTCCGTATGTATGCTTAGATCTTTAAAACTACGCAACGGATTTTGATGCGGTTTTTTTTA